CTGTCCCGTATGCACGCAGGCTATTATCTTACTTATTTATTTTATACATTTTTCATTTAGTTACATTTAATAATAATAATAATTTATATAAAATATTTAATTTATATTTAATTTATAATAAAAATTAAATTTATATAATTTTTATTTAAGAAAGATACAGTTGCATAAGGTACAATTTACATTTTTTACAATTTATATACAACGAGGAAATATCTGCATTACCATCAGTCCCCAAACTAGGCCAGACCTGTATCTTGGGGACTATGAAAGCGATTACCTATTTAGTACACTTTATTTACAAAAAAATAAATAAATAACGAAAACTATGTGAAAAGGTGACTGCGTGTGTATGTGTGCGTGTGCGTGCGTGCGTGCGTGCGTGTGTATGTTGTGTATGAGTGAGTGAGTGCGTGCGTGCATACTTGTGCATTCGTGCATAAGTAAGTACGTGCGTATATGTATACTTACTTTAATACAATCCGAAATGAGTATATCCGTTGAAGAACTAAAGTAACTGATATAGCCCGAAGAATAAGCAAGATGAAATAGAAATAGTTTCAAGAACTGAAAGGCAATGGGAAAAAAGGTAATTGAGTGTCGACCCCGTACAAACAAACGCAGTGTAGGACGACCCCCACTAGACGGAGTGACGAACTCAAATGCATTGTATGGAGTCAGTGGATGTAGGTGGTTTAGGGCCGTACCTTACGGCAGTCTATGAGAGAAGCCTAAGTCCAGCAGTGGACGAATAACTGCTGATAAGATGATAATATACTTAATAAATATTTATTTCAAGTATTAAACATGTTTGCAAATAAATTAGATAGTCCTCTCTTGAGAATGCTTGCGAGAGACGAGAGGACTAAATCATTATTAATAATAAAGTATTAACATAATTTTAAGGTACACTTATTAACAAAAATGGACCCAAGATGTCTTAAACGAATAAATAAAATTAATTAATTAATCTTTTAATATTTTTTAAAAAAGTCATTAAGAACATGTCAGACATACCATACTATTCGAAAAAAAATCTAAAATGTAGATAGGTAAGCCGATTTTCAAATTTAAATATTATTTCTATGTTCAGATACTTAAAAAAAAAAACTTTTCGTTTTATATTTACTACTTTAAGTCATTACTCTTTACTATACTTTGCTTTATTTTATTGTGTACTTTAAATTAATTTCATTTATTTAATTAATGACTTGTTACACTAAGTTATAGTGCATAATAATGTCTACTGATAGTCGGTTTCCTGTCCATTTGCCTAATGACCTAATAACCTCAATAGTAGCCTTGTCAAAATGTAAAAACAACAGCAGCACCTCTACAGAGACAAATTGAGTAGACGTCCCCCACATTAGAAACTGTTTATGTATACATTTTAATAAAGTAACATTGATGTCGGTACATACTAACAAAATAACCGTTATTGAATATTTGCCAAATTTTAAACATAACTGTACAAGTATAGCTGTCTAAAGTTCCTATCAATATCGTTTTGTATAAATCTGTGGCTAGCTAAAATAAAAATCATATAATAATTCTATTCTTCTTTTAAGAGTTTCCTCTTGGCGGACAAATCATGCATTCTCTTCCAGCCAGCTTTATTCCAAGTCATATTTTTGACTCTCTATAAGTTATGACACCTAGTGTTTTCTTTATCTGTCCCATATAGTTATTCCTCGGTCTTCCCCTGCCTCTTTTGCCCTCTATTTTTTCTTCTAGTATGCTCTTTAAAAAATCTTCACGTATGGTGGTATAAGGAGGCGCGACATTTTGCCTCTTCTATTCTCTATTGTTTTATATTAAAGTTCTATTCTCATTCACCTTTTTTAAAACATATTATAGTGTAAAAATAAAAATATAATAAGTTCATTAAAATTATATTATAAAATCCTTACTTTCAATATTTATATTTATACAATATTATAAAATGGAACAATAATTTATTATGTATTACTGCATGCCTTCACGCTCATACTGGCCACAGACAAAAAATGAGAAAAAGGAATAATTCGACAATCCCCACGGGCTCACCCCTTGTACACGGCATAGGGCACATATTGCTAATAAAAACAGGAGCGACCCCCGCGTCTACTGAAATGGATACAATAAATAAATGCCGTAATTAACTCTATTCATACAGCAAATTATCTGTCGCATTTATAGCCCCAAAGTTTGGGCACAACAATGAGTACGAAATGCGCGCGAATTCGATGCATTTGACAGTTGGGGGCGGACATTTTGTATTGTACCTACTCATTGCAAATGGCGTAGGTCAGTGTGTTAAATACCGGATGTTTTGAACATCTGTACCGTAAATAGTATTGTTGGGTAATTTCTCGGAACGAATTAATTCACCCTAAATACTTAATTGTAATAATAGCTCATTTATTGCTGCCAATGATTGCCTGCCTACTACTACATATCGTATTTTATTTAAATAAATGTTACCTATAGAGACATTGGCCTCGATTCTGGGCCATTTTTCTAAACTTGTCTTTTAAACTAATATTTCAATTTGATAATTTCACGAAATTATTGCTTTGTAAGAAAGACATTATAAACTAAATTGAACATAATTTTAGTCTCAATCTATTAAAAATTTAGTTCATATTAGTCCTAAATATAAAGATTATGCTGTGATATCAAATTGAAATATTAATTTTATCGTTGCTTATTTAAAAAAAAAACAGCAGTTGACTTGCTTGCCCATTAAACTGAACGGTGAATTCATAAAAAAATACTAGACATTAAATTTACTCGAATAAGAAAGCAAAATGGTAGTATATTTATGTTTTATCTATTTATATGAATGTTCCGGTCTAATTCCGAGCGCGCGCTTATTCACTCTATTGAAAATTAGGGTCGTTCCTCCAGTATTTATTTAATGAAAATATTTTTCACTAATACTCGAATAATATATTTAACCAATTTCCCGTCAAGCAAACCTTCCGATGTACCTCCATCTCACCTTTAATCTAATATAAAACAGATTATACGGCGGCCTCGGCAGATTTATTGGCAGCCTTATATGGGCAATCAGTTATCTAAATAAAGGCAACCATTTCCACGTCCCCGCCTAACATGGCAACACTCGATTGAACGTTTCGAAACGTACACACACTGCGATAAAATGCTGACATAAATAAATGTATGTGACATTTGTCAAACAGTAGTATTTTTCAAAATACCTATAGAACGCTCGCCCGGAGAGAATCAAAAGAATATTCGAGTTTTGACATTGTGTAAAGAGGTTTGGGCTTTGAATTCACAGAAGAATTTAACATACGAGTATGATCAATTTAACATCCATCCATTTTTTTTTTTTATTAATGCATGGTAATTATTTCTAAAAGTCTTAATATAAATCTATTTTCGAAAAATATAATATCAGTGAGAGACCAACTGAGTAGGCAATTTGTTTATTCATAGTCAGTTTGAATAGCTATTGTATGGACAAGAAGGCCATATTTTAATCAAATACTTGTAATTAATTTTTACTTTGTATTTTATTTTTAATTTTTTTTTTTTTGTTTTTATTTATGTAAGATTGAACTCAGGTTAGTTGGCCCATCATGACCAATAGTAAATTAGGTTTTAACCACAATCGTTTCCAGGGAATACCGCGTGCAGGTCGACCCAATACAGTATATTACTAGCAATAGAGCTACTAGTTATATTACAAAACCCTATTATGATTAGATACTCTGAAGCTAAAATGAAGTCTTCACAATTGACAATTTATACAAGAATGATTTAAAAAAAGTTAAATAAAGCCACAGACTCTTGGCATTCACTTCTTCCTGTCTATCCCTCGACTGATCTGGCGTGAAGATAAATATAAATACTGCCATATCTTAGTAACTCCCAAACTCACAGGAAGCTATCAAACAATCAATAGTTACAATGAAAAATTTAATATCACATTAATCGTATTAAAATCTCCCAGTTCGAATATCAGTCGTAAACCCATCGTCTGTTAGTTAATAATAACTGCAGTTTAACTATAACTGGTGGACTATTTTGAACCGTAGTTAAACGTTATGTTTCGATTTATAGTGCGTTTTGTAACACAAAACTGTTTCTTCTGTAAACATGCGTGGATGTCTCCCATTCACGTGTCGTATGGCATTATTTTATGTCCATAATGGGAAAATCTGTTTCATGGAACACCGCATGTCTATGGCAATATCATAAAGAAGTATTTTTTATTTTGTCTACTGACCGGTTAATTTCTGTTATTACTAAAGTATTTCTGAAAATACTGTTTTTTTTTTTAACAATGGAAATGCCTACGCTAACAGTATCCGCTGGTGAGGCATTAGTGAGGAATGACAGGTGAGGACGAAAAGGCAGGTCAGTTAGCCCATCGTAATGAATATACCTGGAATTCAGCATAATGGATTCGATAGGACCGCGTAGAGCTCGACCTGACAGGGTATATTGCTAGTAATGAGACTGGTAATTCGCATTACTAATGGCCCCTCCTCCCAGAATCTGTCATTTAGTTACATTATATGAATACATTTATAATTGCACCAATTGTTTCTCTTAAATATTTATAATTATATTCTCATATGTGCATATTTCGTTCTATATATTCTATAAATATCCTAGAATAGAACAGAATAGAATAGAATTAAATTATTAACTTTGTACATATAACAGTAAAGATTACTTTGGACTTAACATCAGTATCAACAGAGTTATACCCTACCGGGGGTACAACAATAAGTGATTAACAATTATATAACCGCATTCGAGTATTCTGACACTTCCCTATGGTTGACTGGGAGAGAATGTTTTTAGCATTAAGTCCGCCATGTACACATATTTGTACTAATGAATAAATAAATAATATCGAATAAAACGCCTCTTACAAATACGTCATAAAAGATGTCGTGTCCATTGATTCGAAAGGGGTTTATACCTGACCTGACAACCTGTAACGTCTACGACCTACACATTGTAACCCAGTATTAGGATGTATTTAAGATATCTGAATCTTAATTAAGCACTGTACTATATAAAAACCAGGTTTTTCACTATTCAATCACATTCACAACCAATCCATTGAAGCAATAGCACTTGTAAACAATTCTATAAACAAAATGAAGTTCCTGGTACTACTCTTTGCTCTGTCTGCCATCCTATACACCACATCAGGAAACTCCGTTCAGTTCTACTGCGGCAGAAGGCTGTCGGAGGCTTTGGCGTACCTTTGCACAGAAGAGAATGTTGAAAAGAGATCCTTCAATAGTATTCCTAATGAGGAATATAGCTGGTCTATACCGGCCTTCCCAAAGTTCAGAGCTCTGGAAGGCGTGAGGGGCAAGAGACAAGGCGTGGCCACAGAGTGCTGCGAGAAAGCCTGCACGCTTTCTGAACTGCTGAGTTACTGCTAGAAGACTGAGTGAGCATCTCTTCTGATTTTCGTTATAAGATGTGCCATTTGTTTTTATTACTGAGGTGGTTAATTTAATAAATTGATGGAAAGTTACCATTATTTTATTTAAAAGCCTTTAAACCTTTGAATTACATAACGATTCGATTAATATAAATAAATGAGTTAAATTATTTAATTATTTTTTTATTTTATTTATTCATAAACAAAAATTTATATTTGAATGTCATAGTAGATACAATAATTTCATACAGTACATAAAATATCGATCTCATCATAATATCGACTATTATCCGTCCAGTGCTAAATTTAGGTCTCTCCTTTGGAGATTTTGCCAGTAGTTGCCACTCTTGGCAGGTGGGTTAATAACCGTGGTTAGGTTTTGGTGATGTTTTAAGAGGAATAATACTATCTATTATTCAACCATATATATATATTATACAACTTAGAATGGCAAACATGATGGAAAGTGGTACCTAACCGTCACCTATAGACATGAGCAGTACCATGGACATAACAGAGTATACTGTTTCGCCCACGATACCCCCCTTGCGTTGCCATTCCTGAGGACTCAGGTGTTATTCCTCTGTACCCAGTAAATTCACGCCATATCCCACCCTTCAAACCGAAACACAGCCATGCAAACACAACTGCTTCACGGTTGAAACACGAATGGGACAGAGGTACCAAAGCAATCGACTTTTGTACAAAGTCTCACTCTGATATTATATTATTTGTATATATTACTTGTATTTATAAAATTAGAAATATTGAAAAACAAATATGTAAATAATAATAAATAAAATACTATTTTGTGCAATGTTAAATACATTGCAGTAGTTATTAATATTGATACCGGTATTTTAATAAGTTATTAATAAGCTAGTAATTTTTAGTATTGGTAAATACCGATATCGGCCTCACTAGATTCTAGATTACATCAACTATTCCTGTCAACTTAGTGGATTACTTAACGATTAAGTTGGTAGTAATATTTAATGATAGATAATTAATAATTATAGTAGAATTAACATGAATGAACGAAGGTATAAATATATATATTTTTTTTATACAACTTAAGTCTCTGTCCCATTCGTGTCTCTACCGTGAAGCAGTTGTGTTTGCATGGCTGTGTTTCGGTTTGAAGGGTGGAATATGGCGTAATTTTTATAGGGTACAGAGGAATAACATCTGAGTCCTCAGGAATGGCAACGCATGGAAGGTATCATGGGCGAAACAGTATACTCTGTTATGTCCATGGTACTGCTCATGTCTATAGGCGACGGTTACCACTTTCAGTCAGGTGGACCGTCAGTTTGTTTGCCATTCTAAGTTGCATAAAAGAAAAAAAAACAATCATACAAGTATTCTCAAAGGAACCTACATAGGAGCATATATCTATGAAACAAATTCACGTAACTGTTTTCCTCAAAAACACATAAAAGCACCCTTAAATCGCAATTCATTCGCTATTCAATTTGAAGCCACGATAAGTGAAGCTATTGAGGTGTCAGATTGTAGAAAGAGAGAGCAGGTACTATGTATCCTTAATCTATGTGTCAAAGGAACTACATATGACCGGTTCTTTATCATAAGCATTCGTTATCATCATACAGTTGAATGAAAGTTAATTTCTCTTATCTACATTAAAGAATGTTTAGATGTTTGTACGTCTGTTACTCAGCCACGCTTAAACAGCTAAACGGATTTGACAATTTTTTTTTCTTCTTTATTAACCAACTAGCGGCCCGTCCCGGCTTCGGACGGATGGACATTTTTACATTTTAAAAAGTGGTTATTGTGACATAACGATAATAGTTGGACATATAGTGTCGCGAAGTTTTTTGTAGTTATTGATATTTCCTTCAATATTGTAGAACATACTTTTGTTCTATCACCAATAGTTTCAGCAGTGCACGCGACGAAAGATATTTTATAGCAATTTTTTACACCTTGAGCTACATTACTAAAGTTTTAGTAAGGATCCCTAATCTTTTCTAGCAATGAATATAGCCTATGTTACTCAGGGTGTTGCAGATTCAATTTAATATGTAAGAATGAACTCTTTTTATTATTGCACGTACTGGCCACTTATACTTTTTTACTATTAAAAATGTAATGCATTCTGTCGATTCTATTCAAATTTAGTAAAATGGATGTTGAAAACGTAATATGTATTTTATTTATCTCGTCGTCCTTATAAATATATGATAGTTTAGCCGCATTTGCATCGCAATTATCACAGTTTTCAACAATTGGCGACCCTGCCAGGATGGATGCAAAGAAACGGTGTCGACGGGCGGCGAGAGCACAAGTTAGTAAGATCTCTAATATTTTAGAAAATTTGTTAGATAAAGATGAACTAAATATATCAGAGATCGAATTGAATTATTTAGTACTTCAAGGAGTTATAAAGAAATTAGAGGTACTTGATAGAGATATAGAAATGTTGTTAGCTGAAAAAGATTATGACGAAAGTGGGCTAGAAAAAGAATATGAAGAGGTAATAGCTTACAATAAGAAATGGCTGACAATGAAAACAAGAGTCGAGAATGTTCTGTCTAAAACAAAAGAAGAAAGCGTTGGTTTTTCAGGATCTGAAACAGCAAAGAATTACAAATTACCAGTCCTGGAGTTAAGGAAGTTTGACGGATGTGTACGTAGTTGGTTACCCTTCTGGGGCCAGTTCCAGAAAATAGATGAGGATAAACAGATGAATGATGCGGATAAATTTCAATACTTAGTCCAATCTATGATGCCGGGAACAGAAGTAAGATCTTTTGTTGAAAGTTTTCCTCCAAATAAATCCAGCTACACACAATGCCTTTCTGATTTGAAGCGTAGATATGCACGTGAGGAATTATTGATTCAAGTTTATGTGAGAGAGCTACTTACATTAATAATAAATAAAGACAAAAATATGAATTTATCAAGCCTTTATGATCAACTCAACTCCCAGTTGCGCGCCTTAGAAACTTTGGGTGTAACACAAGATAAATATGCAGCATTTATTCTTCCAATGGTAGAATCGTCTTTACCATTAGACGTTTTGAAGGCATGGGAAAGAATTAAGCCAATTGAAGTACAAGATGAATTGGGAAGTTTACTACTGTTCATAAAACGAGAAGTCGAAAGCGAGCAACGAATTAAAATAGTGAAAAACTTTGGTAACACATCAGAGCAAACGGTTGCTACAGAATCGACAGCATCAACGTTAATGGCCGGAGTGAGCAGATCAGAAAGGAAACCTTTATGCATAAGGTGCAACAAAGGTCATGCTAGTGTAGAATGTCATAAATTGTCGAAGATGTCGTTAGAACAAAGTAAAGAGCATCTTAAGAAGGAAAAAGTTTGTCTAATATGTCTAAAACCAGGGCACTACGCCAAAATATGTAAAGCTTTTATTCAGTGCATAGCTGAAAAGAGACTGTCCACGAATACCAAACGATTAATGCCCTCTGGTAAGTTCCTTGAATATTATAAAGTAAGTTGTTGGAAAGAAAAGGGCATAATAGAGGAAGTATCGGAAGATAAATTAGGGCAGACGGTTCATTATTTACCGCATAGAGGAGTAGTTAAAGATGCAAGTTTAATAACAAAATTAAGACCAGTGTTCGACGCGTCGGCTTGTGATAAAAATGGTCGATCACTGAGTTCATACTTGAATAAGTGGTTAAACTTTTTAGATAAAATACGTCATTTATTAATGGGCTTTCGAAAGAGTGCTGTAGGGATCTCAGCCGATATTGCCAAAGCCTTTCTGCAAATATCAGTAAAACGTGCAGACAGAAATCTGCTAAGGTTTTGTGGTGGAAAGATGAATTACAAAAAGAGAAAGAAAAAGAAACTCATTTAAAAATTGATAATATTGTATTGATAGAAACTGAGGAGAGACAAGTAAAGTGGTCACTAGGAATAATCACAGGAATATATACTGAGAAAGATAAAGTGGATCGATCTGCAAAACAGCGTTAGGTTTTAAAATTCGACCATATCAAAGACTTTATTCACTAGAAGTTTTAGCGTAATCTTCTATATTTCTGATACATATTGAACTTGTAACACCTTAGTATTTATTTTCAACATATTTTTAGGTAGATGTAAAGGATGTTGCAGATTCAATTTAATATGTAAGAATGAACTCTTTTTATTATTGCACGTACTGGCCACTTATACTTTTTTACTATTAAAAATGTAATGCATTCTGTCGATTCTATTCAAATTTAGTAAAATGGATGTTGAAAACGTAATATGTATTTTATTTATCTCGTCGTCCTTATAAATATATGATAGTTTAGCCGCATTTGCATCGCAATTATCACAGTTTTCAACACAGGGTGAATGTAGCTTTGTAATGGTGTAAGAATTTTTGAAATCGGCAAAGTTGTTTTTGAGTTTATTCATTACAAATATACATACACACAAAAATACAGATCTTTCCTCTTTCCTCTTAGTGCAGATGTTCTTGTCGCACGATGTTAAGTCAATGTTTACATTATGATTTTTAAATTTACAAATGATAACAGTATTTGAAATATGAATTACATGACAATAATGTTGATTTGGTATACGGGTAGGTTTTTTTTTTGATTGGTAATAGAACGGTAACCCCGTCTGCGCGGGGGGAAAGGGATTGTTAGTAATGGAGACTGAGAATCCCATTGCTAGCACTATACCCAACCAGGTCGACCTCCTCGCGGTTCCCCCTGGAAACTATCATGGTTAATTCCTGATGAATTCATCATCTGGCCTGTTTTCATTCTCATCTATCACCCTTCACTGGTGCTCCGCTAGCGTATCCCGTTAGCGCAGGCGGGATTACCATACCATTTTCATCTATCAAAAAAAACCCCGTCTGCGCTATCGCCATACGCTAGCATGGCACTAGTGAGGGAAGATAGGTGAGGACGAAACAGGTCAGTTAGCCCATCGTGACGAATTCGACAATAAATTAATCACGATGGTTTCCAAGGAGAACCGCGTAGAGGTCGACCTGTTAGGGTATATTTTTAGTAATGAACCTATTAGATCTCAATACTA